CCCCCCCCCCCCCCCCCCCCCCCCCCCCCCCCCCCCCCCCCCCCCCCCCCCCGGTATTTTCTCAAGATCTGGAAGCGTGAAGTGTTCAAAAACGTATCATCCAATTGAGAATAGCATCACTACTGAACCTTTTTTCTCTGATCAAGTAATCCATTTTACTAGAACCGCACAGACATTGTTGTAATTGAATGACTTATGATGCTATTTGTACTCTATTTTGAACAATCAGAAATAAAAAAAAAAAACATCACAACATTGATCAAGTTGCACTAATTACTATAGAGAACATTTAATTGGCATGCTGGGTGATATCGCTACAGAAAGCGTTCGAGTAAACGATCAACCTAATTTTCTTTAATATCAATAGTGATAAAATCAAGTAAAATCAGTCATGTTAATTGTAATACAATGTTAACACTACTAAAGAAATTATTCATAACAAATCGACATCAGAATAAAAAATTTCACGTAGAGTTGATTGACAATCTTTAAGATAGATATTATTGATATATCTAGGTATTGATTCGTTACTATTTAAAATATAATCCCTTTTTACATTCAGCTAATATCTGCCACAACTTAACATTCAACCTATCTTTTAAATATGAATATTCGGGTTTCGCCATTTTTTTGAGTGTTGGTGAATTCAATGGTGATAATTATACGGATTTAGTCGTTTCAAATACTGAAGACTCGTCTCTCAACGTTGTTCTTAGCTATGGAAATGGTCGCTTTGAATCTCAAATTACTACTGAGCTTGAAACGGCAATGTCTGGCGCAGCTGTCGTTGACTTCAATGGGGATAGCCACACAGACTTAGCTATCAGTTTCTCAGGTAATAGCAGTGTGGACATCTTACTCGATCGAGGTGACGGCACTTTTGATTGATCAATGCTCTATCAAACAATTTGCCGAAGATTTGAATAATGATCAAAAACTTTGATTTATTGGTAGCAATTGCTGACGCGAATCTTGTTAATGTTTTTCTCGGCTATGGCAACGAGACTTTTGTACAAATGAATTCATTTGTCGCAGGAATCCTTTCATTTGCAATCGTTTCGGTTGATTTTAATCACGACAATCACAGTGACGTGGCTGTCGCAAATTATGCTGGTCAAGCTGTGACCGTACATATGGGGATTGGCAACGGTACGTTTCTGAATCGTCGTACATATATATCGTCAAGTAGTCCAGCAGCATTAGCTACAGATGATTTTAACCATGATCAACACATAGATTGGATAGCTACTTATTGTGAAAATAATTCGATCAGTGTGTTACTGTGTAATGGAAACGGCACCTTTCATCTTTGATATAACTATAAGACTATTGATTGTTCGTATTCAGTTGCTGTCGGTGATTTCAATAGGGACAATCATCTTGACATAATTTTCAGTCTATTTGAATTAGACTGTTTTAATATAATGTTCGGTGATGGCTCTGATGCGATGCTTGAATCACGACTGTTCGATATAAATCAACAACCATGTGGAATAGCTCTCTATGATTTGAATGACGATAATCGATTGGATTTCGTTCGTGCGCATAACTTTATGGACGCGAGCGTACATTTGAATACATGCTTATAATGTGTTCATTCAGTAGGAAACATGTAAATTTTGGTATTTTCATGGCATTTTTGCAGTTATTACGTTTAATCGTTAATGAAATAGTCAATGAAACATAAAATGAGTCAATTTCTTGTATATGCACTATTTTATTCTATAGTCGATTCAACAGATCACGAAGGTTTTATCGTCTCTGAAAAAATGTGGGTAAAACGGTTCATTGTAGATGTTCATATTTCAATTGGCATATTAAATTTAACTTTACGATGAATCTCTTTCTCTCTCTCTTTCTCTTTATAGTCAACCTAATTCGAGTAAAATTTGTTAAGAATGAACTTCATTGATATTGACATTGTTCATGGATATGAAATTATTCTACATGTTTATCTTCGCTCAATATCACTCAAAACTATCATCATTTTCCTTTCATTCTTGTTCATTATTTGATGAAGCGACAACAAAAACAAAAAAAATATATATACCTATCAGAGATGTCCACAGGGCAACTTTTTGCACCCTGTCCTGCTCTGCCCTGCCCTGTCGGTTTTCAGCAGGACAGGGCAGGGTACCCTGCTGAATTGGAATAGTGTCTGTATTGTAATTTTTGATATATCTCAAAATAAAAAGACATGTTTCTCATTGTACCATAGAACAGTTTTTGTTTTAGAGCCAGTTCAGACAAGTCACGATGGACCCTTCTTAATCAGCGATGGTCGATTTAATCGATACTTTTATGACGATAGATGCAAGTGTTTGATGAATTCATGCGAAAACTGTTTCAAAAAATCTTGTTCCATTCTTGGGACATTAGATTTTTCTGAGACCTATACTTCTTAAAGAAAATATTCATTTTGCTTGAAATTTTCAATGTAGATCTATATTTAGTTGAGGTATTTTCCCTGAAAATATGAGCTCAAACTGATCGATTGCTGATGAATTGACCTCGAGCACCGGTAACATTGAAAAAATTCTGTTCTTTTTTGTATTTTGTGGGTGTACATTTTCATTTAGTGGATAATACTGGCGAGCTAAAATTTTAACCACAGAGATCTCATTGACTAGGTCTGGTAAAAAATTTAGTTCTCCAGCTAGCTTCATTTTTGTATGGAACTCTCATGAAAAATGTAATTCTCGATCACCATGATTTTGATGAAAATCGCATTTTTACAACGGCTTCCGATCGATGAGGACTAACAGGAGAGCTAAATCTTTTATCAGACTTAGCCAAGGAGATCTCTGTGGTTAAAATTTTAGCTCGCCAGTGTTATCTACTAAATGAAAATGTACACCCACAAAATACAAAAAAAACAGAATTTTTTGAATATTACCGGTGCTCAAGGTAAACTTATCAATAATCGATCAGTTTGAGCTCATATTTTCAGGGAAAATATCTCAACTAACGATAGATCTATATTGAAAATTTCAAGTAAAATGAACATTTTCTTGAAGAGGTATAAGTCTCAAAAAAATCACGAATCTGTTAATTTTTGATGAGGATGCTCTTAGAAAAATTTTATTATCTCGAGAATAGAACAAAATATTTTGAAATGGCTTGTGTGGAAGTGGAAACTCATGAAACACTTGTCTCCATCGAGCGTAAAAAGCGAGTCAACCGGCGACTATTGATTGAGCAGCTTCAGTGGAAACGGGTCGTGGCTTATATGGACCAGATCAGATAGAAAAATTTCTGACTATCAGTTTGTGTCGTTCTCTGGAGTCTATTTTCTTATTTATGAGTCTTGCGAACTAAAGAAAAAATTTCTTCGGCACGGAAATCCAAACAACTGGGTTTTCACTTGCAGGGTATATGGTCTCACCCTGCCCTGCCCTGCAATTTCCCTGGCCTACCCTGTTCCTGTTCAGGGCAGGGCAGGGCAGGGCAAATTTTATTTTTTCCCCCTGTTCCTGCTCAGGGCAGGGTAACCCTGTCCTGTGGACATCTCTGATCGATAATAATCGATTAGTACAACACAATAACTGCGTTCTCCGATTATAATCGATTTTTAATCAAAACAGTAATCGATTTTAATCTGATTTTACCCCTAATTTTTTACGTGGGACGAATGAACACGATAGTTGTTTTGCCAAATTTGATAATACCTACTTTATTTATGTCACATTTTATGTTGAATTCCATCAATCTACGACTATCTGCGGTAATGTACATGGTTATATAAATAATACGTTTGTACTCTAGGCTTCAAAAGATCTTACCAATTGAACAAAAGTTAGTAATATCATTATCTCTGAAATCACTAAAGCTAATTACTACAGAAATTAGGAAACCAGATAACAAAAGCATATGCATGCAGAAAAACAATCTATAATTACATAATGAATCTAAAAATATTTCTATGAGAGAAAATTTTGACAGCTAACATAAACCGAGTGTATACAATTTAAGTAGAATATTTTTTGCTGTTTTCTTGCCGCTAGACCGTAGTACTCTGACTTAGAAACTAAAGCGAAGATATATATTTGTCGAACTGACTCTACTGTTTATACAGTTGTAATGTACTGTCTCTTTTCATCGTAAATTGAATATTAACAAGTCAATCGTCACAATAGCGATAAATTCGATTTCTGGAAATGTAATTTTTTTGTTCTTCGTTGAATTTTTTTTCTAGTTTGATCGTTATAAATCTGAAGCACTAAATCTAGTTTTTTCAAGATCATTATATCAATTTTTCCAGCTAGCATGTACTTTTATGAAAAATTGACGTAATATTTCAAAAATTTAGCAATTTTAGTTAAAATAATTAAAATTTTCTTGAAGTATTAGTATAAAGTTTCGAAAGAATAAATATTCTATCAGTTCAATTGACAAAATAGCGAGAAAAACCATAAGTAAAAAATAGTCATACCAAACTCCTTAAAATAATTCATAGTAGTCGTAGTATTAGCCAAGCATAGTGTATAATAGAAGAATTTGTTTGATTGTCATTCAAAAAAATTTCGTTCTCCTATTGATATCATATAACATATAAGAAACGAACAATTAAAGCAGTGTATTCGGAATTTATTAAGAAAGGTCAGTATAAATTTTATTTTTATACACCGATATTATTGATATATTACTCTGCTGCCGATCATGGCGCAGCGGGTTGCGCCCGATTGTGGGAGTGCTGCACCTCAGTACGAAAAATTAGGAACACATCATTTTATAAACCATCAACCGTCATCAATTTCTACTGTCTATGCTGACGCTAATGGTGTATTATTTGGGGATGATGCTCAGCCGGGCTTGCAGTATAATGGAATGGCAAATCATTCTGATCCTTGGAAAATTATACAGAAAATGAGTGATGATAATAGAGTCCTTATTGAACAAATCACTCGGCTTACGACTCAAATTACACATTTACAATCCATAGTTTACTAAAAACAGTCCATTAGTTCGACAGTGACAACACAAGACACCTTAAACAGCCAATTAAATCAAGTTACGACGATGCCAGTAATTGCACATAATTCATCGAAACGTGTGTTGTCTCCAATGTCTGATGAACAACGTGAATCTACTGAAATGGATAACGATCCTGGCACTCGTATTGTTCCCACTGCACAAAGGAAGAGAAGAGCTGTTGGTGTCTCACCATCCAACAAAATTCAAGATAATGGACTATCTATCTCGAATCAAGCTCGGCATAGTAAGAACATACAGCAGCAAAGCATGAATTACGCTAACATCCAACTCCAGAACAATTTCAGTGTGAATAACAATACGAAGGAACAACAAGATCTTCATATTTCGGAAGAAGCAAAACGATTTGCTCAGACTAGATATCCTTTTTCTCCATTTGTTATAGCGACGGAGCAGGATATTCGTGATAATTTAGTTGTTGAAGATTTATGCAAATTTGCGAAGGATAAACATCAGTTTACTATAGATATTGCAGGTTATCGTCGAACATCAACTAACAGTGCACATGGAGAATATAAAATTTTATTATTTGTTAAAAACTTAGAGACATTTGTCCTTTTACTTGGTGGAAAAATTTGGCCGCAAGAATTATGTGGACTTAAATATAAATATACTTGTCCTTCGATCCCACCTCAACTATCAGTAATTATACCGGACGTACCACTGAATATTAACTTCCAAGAATTCTCAGATGAAATTCGTACGGTCAATAAGAACATCGTTTCAGTAATACGTTTACGTAATAGCGCACAACAGGATATTAAAGCAGTTAAATTAGAATTTAACTCCGTGATATCACGCAAAGAAATGTTGGATAAAAAACGTGTTTTAATTATGGGACTGTCGTTGGATATTGTGGAATATTTGGCCCAAGCTCATGTTTTGATCTGCTCACAATGCATGAATATTGGACATTTCCGTAAGAACTGCACTCAAAAAGATACTCAAACATGTACTGTCTGTGGTGAGAAAACTTCAGATATTCGGTTACATAAAGCCAACTGTTCGGGCATTATGAAATGTATACATTGTAATGGACCACATAAATCAAATGATACTAAATGTCCTATTATAAAAGAGTATAGGGCAGCACTCACAAGGTCTTTATTAACGCATCAACAACCAACATCAAATACCACCAACGCATACCATTTCAATTCGGAAAACTTTCCTAATATACGGATGAGATGGAACACAGCATCTCAAACAAAGTCAGTGAACCTCGAATACAAATGGCGTACTGTGGTTGATGAAATGTTAGTCTTCAAGTCCGAAATAAAAACAGTGGTGCTGAAGTTATGTGATCTTATATTAAGCGACGTTCTACCGGAAGATAGTGATAGAAACTTAGATTACACAAAAAAGGTCGAGGCGAAACACACTTTGTTAAGAAATTGGCTGAAGAAATGGAAGTCATCGACACAATTACAACATGAATCTATCTATAAATGCAACCACATTTGTACCTCGTTCTACATCATCAAATTTAAACATGTCTAATAGTACTTGGGACCTAATAGCACCAACTCTTGGACACTCTGACTTAAAACTATTTTCGTCTGTGGCTCTTGAATGGCATAATGCTCCAACTTTGGAAAGCTGTTTTTCACAATGGAAGAAATCCGTCAAAGAGGACATAATCTCCCCCCTATCGGACTTACATGTTTTATGCTTTAATGTGCGTGGGTTGGACTACAGACGGGGTGAAGTAGTCTTATTAAGTACTCAACACGCTTCAGATATAGTAGTACTGACGGAAGTTGGACGTATTGATCATTCTTTGGTGGCTGCAGCTTTTCCGAAGTATCAAAGTTTTTACCAGGGTGGTGAGAATAGAAACGGTGGTGTATTGATACTAGTTCGTCA